AGAAAGAAACATAAACTTTCATGAGACTGTCATACAGCTGAGTCACATCATTTGAGAGTACTGAGTCAACCAAGAGAATGGGACACACCTATTTTTAGCTTGGGATACAAAGGTTTGCTGAACCTGAACTGGCACTTGTGTCTGTATGCTTAAATCCTGGCCTGAATATTCATTAAAAATTTACTATAATTTTTAAATAATCAAAGTTGAATGCTTATGTTTTTCACAGTTATTCAAAGCCGAAGAAACAAAAATCTTTTTTGTGCTTTGGGGTCCCTGAACAAACTTAAAACTTTTCTGTCTGACCTGATATGGTGAGAAAACAGTTCTGTCGTCCCCACCATCCATGCAGAATTGTCTTCTGATTTATTCCCAGCCCTTTTTAAATGGCTCTGTCAGAATTTTTACCCAAATGCTGCTTTGTTGAGGTAAGTGTTGACCTCGGAGAATTAGCCACTGCAGGAGAGAAATTAAGTTCTGCAAATTAGGAAGATGTGTCCCACAAGATGGAAAAACAAGAGGAAGGACCAGTGAACTCCATACCCACAGCATTCCTGGTATAGTCAGCTGGAAGAGGAGGAAGCCTTTGCTGAAGTCCTTCATAGGGGCTGTGAGAAAGCTCAGCTTAAACTCTTCCAAAATCAATCTTAAGGAGCAACTGGTAAATGGGGAAAATGAGGTAGCAATTGCGTTCAGCCTGTTCTCTGCCATCTGGAGACCTGGGAAATAATCACAGGTAGGGAAGATGGAACCTGGGATAAAATTGTCAGTAAGGCAGCTGTAAGGAGTACAGAGATAGAAAGATTAGGTTAATATTTACATGCAAATGCAAAAGAAGATGCTGATCCTAGGACAGGACAACCTTGACCTCACAGAGGGTGGAGGCACAAAGGGAATGCATATGAAAAACAAAAAAGGACCTGTAGCTCTTTGGGAATGTGTTATTTCTGTTGCTCAGAATACATACTTCCACAGACTGGCACAGCTGAAGGAAATGGAAATGAATCCAGTCACTCCCTGGGTAAGGAAAAGCTGGGAAGATGGCCAAGGACACCTTGCTAAATCTTTGAAATATAATACTCACAGAGGTGAGCGTCATCAGGATAACAGCAATAAAAGGCTGAGGGATGGCTTGTTGTGAATAATTTACAGTAGTTTAATTAACACCAAAATAATTTATAAGAATTTTAATCATAGTCTAAATCACCAAGTGAGCAAATTTGAATTAAGTAAGCAATGTTAATCATATTTTGGAGGCATACCTTTAAAGGGCTTTCCTCTCTGAAGGAGAGATTGATTCTCATTGTTTGCTGAAGATTCAGAAAGCTTAAAATAAGAATAATCTTTTCATGAAATAACCCTTTTTTTTTTGTTAGCAAGGATACACTACATATACACACAAGGAGTTCTGTAAATTAACATGAGTTCAATTATTTATTTAACCCACATAAATTTGCAGTGTCATGATTTTGTAAACTGTTGAATCGCACCCATAGCTCCTGCAGCCACCCAGGGAGCCCAGTGGCTTGGGAGAGGCACTGCTGGGTGGTAGTTCCTGAAACTCCATGTGGAAGAATGACCACCATGTCCAAGGGCCTCTCAGTCCTTTCTGAGCTCTCGAGCTTCAGGTCCTGTCACTGCAGCAGTGCCTGCTGCATGTTCTCTCTCTGTTGCCACAAGGCAGGTCTTCCTCTTTGCTGTCCTTCCTTTCTTACTCATGGAGACATGGAGCTCCTGGAGCGGGTCCAGTGGAGGCTGCAGAGATGATTCAGGGACTGGAGCATCTCCCTGGGGAGGAAAGGCTGAGGGAGCTGGG